GCAACCCTCAGTGTCGCGCCCGCACCGGGGACCGGCAACGGGATCGCAACCCTCGGCGCCGCGCCCGCACCGTGCTCAGCCAGTGAGTGGGAACCGGTCTCCACATGGGATCCAAACCCTCAGCGGGAGCTCCGCCGCGCTCTCAAGCAGCGCACTCTCCAGTGCGCCACCGGGCCGGCCCTTGTGCTACGTCTTGCAGCAAATCTGGGTGATTTTGACTGAAAGACCTAATGTTCTAAGAGCAAGCAAGGGAGAAATACAGAAACATGAAACACCCAGGGAACTGCAAGTGCAAAGGCATAGAGATATAAGAATGGTACATATGGAAAACTGAACATATGGCAATAAACATTGGTTGTTGAAAACTGTTTGAGCTGGGTGACGGGTTCTTTAGGATGTGTTATATAGAGCTATTCTTTCTTTTGTGTGTGTTTAAATTTTTCCATAATAAAGGATAAGAATAAATGAATAAATTATTTTTTAATGAATGTAAAGGAACGAAAGAATGAATGTTCTCTAGGCAGGGAGGCATGGCTGTTATCACCAGCCACTTGTAACAGCAGCCAAACTGTGGTGGCAGGAGGTGGTGGGTGAAGAGTGTTAATACCTCAGAAGAAATATATAAGTCAATATTTGTTCAAATGTAAGTGACAACTCAAACTAGCTTAAGTATAAAGGGGAACTTATTTGTTCACATACCTGGGAAGCCCAAGGGTATTCCAGCATTAAAAACAGCTGGATCTAAGAACTTCACTGATATCTCCAGAGCTCTGTCTCCTTTATCTCCTTTTTGCCTCTATTCCACTTCATTTTTCAGAAAGACCTTCTCCAAGTGATGAGAAGGATGGCCACTGATAGCCCCACCTCAAATCCTGCCAACTTCATAGCCAAAATGGAAGGAAAAAAAAAAAAAACAACTTCTCTCTACCAACATCTGTATATAAATCTCAGGAAAAACTGTCTCAATATCCAAAATGGAAGGGAAAAAAAAAAAACAACTTCTCTCTACCAACATCTGTATATAAATCTCAGGAAAAACTGTCTCTATTGGGTTCATGTACCCCTCCTGAATCAATTGTTATGGTGCTCAAGCCTGGAATAGGTGCCAGCAAGAGGGGGGTGGGGCGGGAGGACAAGAGGGCAGCATGATTGACAGTTCCACCAGACCACATGGAACAGAGGGAAGGGACACTGGCGGATCCAAATAACTGACATCATGGGCCCCCAACAGGGCTACAATTGGCATTGGACACAGGGAGGCTGGAGAGTGAATTGAGTGGTAGAAGAGGGTAGGGATGGGCAGAGGCCCTATTGTTTCTAAAGAAGGCCAGGCTGAGCTGGGCTCTGGAATTATAAAAGAATTTGTTGTTGGGGTGGGGTAGAATAAAAAAATGAAGCTCACATTAGCTACACCTAGGCATGAAAGAGTTTAAAATCTCCCACTTTTCCACAGAAGGGTATTTGAAGATATTGAAGATAACAACTGATGAGGGATGTGCTGTAATTTTCTCAGGTTAATTGTGAAGTTCAATGCAATTAGAAAAACATCCCCAAAATAGCTTTGGTTTAGTTGGCATGTGACCAAACACTGAAAAGCTTAGATTCGTATAAAAGAGATTCAAATATGTGTCTCATACATGCTCAAGAAACTGAGCTGAAGGAAGAGACAAAGCAGTACCAGCCATCTGTTTAGGAGGTATGCAAGCTCCAGAGGAAATCTGGAAAGAAAGGGGGCTTCAGTCTTCTAGGACCCTAGGCAATCAAAGAGTCAGAGGCTCCAAGAAGCACAAACAAGATCAAAACCCAGGGCAGATCCAGTGCCTGAAACCCACAAAGCCAGCAGGAGCACTGGGCCTTCTGCTGCTGCCCACACACAGCTCTTTCCTTCAAAGTAGTTCCACATACATCTTCTCTAAGAAATCTTTCAGCATACCTCAGTAGTAATGAGTTATTCCATTGTTGGTAAGACCATCCTCAGGATTTACTAGCATGTGCTCAGGACTCTCACCTGTTAGGAAGGAAGAGAGAGGTTTTGATGACACTGGGTCAAAGGACCATGGGAACTAGAAGCCTTCTGTGGCTCAATCATCTTGCTCCTCTGTGAGGTTCATGAGGAAACAACACAGTCAAGGACCACTGACAGAGCAGAAATCAAAATATCACATTATATTCACCTGAATAAATGCCCAATTTCTTAGTGCAGGGCTCTCTTTTTAAAACAAAGTTAGAATAGCCTACACTAAAGGCTCACGAGGGCCTTTCCCTCACCATGATGCACCAAAATCTTCTCACCCTCTTTCCTACCACGAGACAAGAAATACAAGCAATAAAAAGTATGAGAGGGCCGAGCCTGTGGCGCACTCAGGAGAGTGCGGCGCTGGGAGCGAAGCGATGCTCCCGCCACGGGTTTGGATCCTATATAGGAATGGCCGGTGCGCTCACTGGCTGAGCGCGGTGTGGGCGACACCACACCAAGGGTTGCGATCCCCTTACCGGTCACGAAAAAGACAAAAAAAAAAAAAGTATGAGGAAGGGAAAACAAGATGGGGGTTCATAACTCTGCTCTTGTTAAATGTGGACCATTGAATTTCCTGGAATCTGACTAATCTACTGAACAACTCTGGGAAAAGTCAAAGACTAGGAGAGAAGGGGAGCTATGGAGCTTCCCTTTCCTCTAAACACTTGTGCCTCAAAATGTGGGCCATGGACCAGCAGTATCAGCATCACCAGCTAGCTTGTTAGAAATGCAGAATCTTGGGCCCCATCCTAGATTAACAGACTCAGAGAGCTGCATTTTAATAAGATCTCCAGGTGATTCATACACACATTAAAGTTTAAGAAACACTGAGTTACTGACTTCTAAATCCATGCCCAACTTTTCTGTCATTTGGGTCTTTGCTCACATCCTAAAATAGCACTCTGCATATGGTCAATAGTTAATGAAAGAATGTTAGAGAAATTCTCGTTGGCACCTATTTAATTCCATTTGAAGGGAAGAAACCATTTCAAAGAAGCCAGAACACATTTACCAATGAGCGGCTTAGACAGAGACAGAAGCATACTAAAGACAAGCAAATGAAACAATGCTACAAACATGTACGCAACTCTATGGAGCAGGCCAGGCGGGCACAGTAAGTCTCCTCTCACTCTGTATGTCCCGCCTGTAACAATATTCCCTCCCCTGCTCATTCTTGCTTTCCTTCATCCAAGCTAGTACTAAGTTCTCAAGTTGAGTTTTGCTTCAGACCTACGGTAGCACCACATGGGTTACACGTCTCTTGCAGCCCTGCCCTCAAACCCAAAATCTAAGAATGAGATACTGTATCATTAAATCAGGACAAATGGGAAAACAAAAAGTAACTTGGCACATCAATACCTCTCACCATTAAGTGGTTATGACCATCGTGACCCAATTCATGTCTTACTTCTTAAAGCAGCCAACTCCCAGGCCTACATCTTCATCCAATATTCACTTTCTGTAGCACTTCCTACTTGAGTGACTTTAAGCACTGGTAACAATGAAAATTCAGAGCATCCCAACCCCCAATTTCTTCTCTTTGCTCTACCTGATGCAATACTTTAAAGTAAAAAGGGCGAGGGGTTGGCAAATATTTATGAATCAACTTGAGTTCTGCTACAACATTATTACGAGAATCCAATAATGACAGGATTTCATTAGTAATAATTACAGTTACCATCTGTTGAGCACTGACAATATGCTTCACAACAACCCTATGAAGTAAGTAGTATCCCCATTTAATGAGGGAGGAAATTTGAGGTTTTCAGAAGTTGAATAACTTGCCCAGGAAGAAGCAAAGATAGAATTCCAGCCTACACCTGCCTGAGTCCAGAGCCTCTTAACCACTGAATATGATGTCTCACTTATTAGAAAGAACTGCAGACTCACTGTGTAAGTAGAGAATCATTTACTCTCTCTGGGGCTGATGCGAGGATCAAATGAGATTAAAGATGTTAAAGCACTTAGAAAAGTAATGTGTGTCCAACTAAAAGCCCTCAGTTCTCTAGTAACTGCAACTATACATGTGAAAATTGTTCACCATTATAATTAGAGATATACCAGTTAATTCAGTAAACATTTTTCATTTATCAAATTAGAACTTTTTTTTTTAAGTTCACCCTTGATGTTGGCAACAATGCTATGAAACTAGCACATTGCCAGTGGGAGCATAAGTTAGTACAACCTTTCTAAAATTCAAATTGACAGTGTATTTCAAGAATTTCTTAAAAATTGGCATAATAATTATTTTAAGGAAAAATAAATTAGGACAAATTTCAAGTGTAAAGGTCATTGAGCATAGATTCTGGAGCCAGATGCTTGGCTTTAAATCCCAGCATCACTATTAATGAGCAGTGTTATCTTGTGCTGCCTTGGGACTCTGCAGAGAGTTCCCACCAAGAAGAAGGCTCTCACCAGATGCACCCCCTGGACCTTGGACGTCTCAGCCTCCAAAACTGTAAGAAATAAACCTCTTTTACTTATACATTACCCAGTTTGGGGTATTCTTTTGTCAGTGACAGAATCTGTGACTTGGTGTCTAAAAGGGGGATATTAATAGCACTTATTTCACTGGGTTCTTATGAAGATTAAATGAATTATTATATGTAAAGTTCTTAATGCAGTGCCCGGCACAAAGTAAGCAATATATATATATATATATATATGGTATCTATCATTTTTATGATCTCACTGTTATTTATAATAGCAAGATCTGTGTTGAACCATATAGAAAAATGGCTAAGTATAATATGGTAACATACAACAGAATGTTATACAGCCACTAAAAATGAAGCTTTAAAAGAATATTTAATTACATATAATGTAAAGAGGAAAAAGCAGGAAACAAATTGTGTATATTGTCCCTGTATTAGTCAGTTTTCTGTCACTTATAAAAGAATACCTGAAACTAGGTAAAGTACAAATAAAAGAGATTTATTTCTTACAGTTTTGGAGGCTGGGAAGTCCAAGGTCTGGAGGGTGCATGCGGTGAGGGTCTTCTTCTCGGTGGAAACTGCAGAACCCCAAGACAGCAAAGAGCTTCACATGGCAAGGGCTAAGCAAGAGCTCCTTTCCACATGCTTCCTTCCTCTCCTTATACAGCCCCCAGTCTGCTCCCTGACAACCCATTATACAATTAATCCATGAATGTCTTAATCCATTCTTGAGGGTACAGTATTCACAATCCAATCACTTCTTAAAGGCCCCACCTTTTTAACACCATATTGGGAATTAAGTTCCAACATGAGCTTTGGAGGGGACAAACATTCAGCCCATAGCAGTCCCATACCACTTATGCTTGTTGAAAGAACACTATGTGAAATATAGATGAGTAGAAAACAACTGGTAGGAATTACATCAAAATATTAAGAAAGAATATACCTGGGCATAAGCTGGGGTTTCCTCCTTATACTTTGGTGTATTTTCCAAAACCTCTAGAGCAGTGCTCTTACACTTTAGCAGGTGTACAAATCACCCGGTAATCTTGTTAAAATGGAGCTTCTGGGTCAGTAGGTCTGAGATTTTGCACATTCTGCATTTCTAACAGGTTCCTGAGTGATGTGCCCAAAGCCTAAACTATGAGTAACAAAGTTCTGAAGTAGGGCATGTGAACCAATCAAAGAGTTTGTGAAAGTACAGGTTGTAAACATACAGGTTGGACCCAACCCCCAGAGTTTCTGATTTAGTAGGTCTGGAGTGGGACCCCAGAATTTGCATTTCTAACGGTTTCCCAGGTGATGCTTGTGTTCCCTGCTATGTTGCAGGTCTGGGAACCACACTTTGACAACCAATGCTTTAGAATATATATATATATTTACTAGCATCATAGAGGGGAGAGAGATGTTGCAGGTCTGGGAACCATACTTTGACAACCAATGCTTTAGAATATATATATATATTTACTAGCATCATAGAGGGGAGAGAACTAAAAAATGTCAGCTTTCTCCATTGTCTATAAAATCAAATCCAAACTCTTCATCCAAAAGCCTCCATAAGACAATCCAATCATTTCCCACGACTTCTATTTAGGCCACAAAATCAAACATCATGCCCTAAACACACCTGAGATTTCAAACATTAGGACTTCTGCTCAATTTCTTCAACCTGGCTGATATGTCACTTCCTTCTATTTTTTCATGCCCAAATCTTACCCATCCTTCAAGCCCCTCAAATGCTATTCCCTCCATAAATCCACCACTACTCAAAAAGCCACCTCTCCCTCCTCTCCTCAGGGCTCCACAGCATTTTCTGCCCCTACCCCACACCCCCTGCCCACCCAGTGACACTTACCAATGTCTACCTGATCCAGTGACTCTACCAGTGGGCGATGTACCTCCCCCAGTAGACTGGGAGTTTCTTGAGGGCAGGGGAATAACGCCTATTTTTATCTGCTTCTTGGCATTAGCAAATCCCCAGCAGACAGCTGATACTGAGGGTTGACTGAAAGAATGAATGAAGGAACGGAGCCTCCTGAGGAAGGGAAGAGAACTGTCCTGTAAATGGAAACTAGAACGTTTGCACGTCAAGCCTGATGACCAGCAGTAACAGGTGTTTTCCATCTTTGATGTCCGTGATTCATGCTGCACAGCTGCGCACACACACAGCGTAAGCACACACAGGCTCTTGGAATACAACGCCGCACACGCTGAAATGCACTCCATGTTCTGGGCGTCCCGGCGGCCACACATAACTAAACACACCTCAGCGACAACCTGGATCCACAAAAAGAGACCCTGCCCCCTTAAAAAAAAATAATGCCTTCCTGCAAACAAGAAGCTATGGCTTGTGCCTATGTCCCTTCCTCCCCGCCGCACCTTTCTTTTTAATTTTTAAGGAGTCTATTGAGGGTGAGTCTGCATGCATTTCGTTGCTGCCACCCTACTCCCCTACACACACACCCACACCTCCCCCCATTCGTGTCTCAGACGAGGCGCGTCTCAGAGGGCTGGATTGAATGGTAAAGAGCGGCCGTCTTTGTCGTTAATCCTCCCCTCCTTAGGGCGAGCCAAGCTTCTTCCGGGTCGGCGACAATCACCGCCACCCCAGGCAGGCCCGCGGTCCCCCCAAACCGATGCCCCGCTGCGCGCGAGGGCCGG